CACACTACAACATGGATGCATTGTTAGACCATGATCGTGCTTCCTTCAGATTGTGGACCTTCTCTCACCAAGCAGATCGAAATTGCATCAGCAAGGAGCGACATAGACGGAGCGAAGCTACAACATGGAGGCACCGTTAGTCGAGGATCGTGCTTCCTACCCATGGTGGCCGTGCATACTAGCGATGGTGCTCATGCTTCCTTCCACCATCGGTCTATGTGCTTCATTTGTTCATATAACATTTTTCAGACATACTACAATTTTGCGTATTTCAAGTCATGAGGATTACAATGCTACCTAGGGAAATACGCAATGGTTCCCGGGGACATCTGTCCCCGGAATCTCACCGCTCATCCGGCCGTGCCTATTAGTATTTGACCTCGTCACCTTTTGTATTTCCACCCCAACCACATCTGTACTGTCCACTCTGCACGTCAGAAGGCTGCTGTACACAAATATCTTTTAAGGCGTGAGACACTGTGTAGTTATTTACTTAACTAGATTTATTACTCGCTGACTTGCTGATAAGCTGTTTGATCCATTTTTTAAGCAGTACTCAAACCGCCTCCTAATGCTGCACGGGTTCGCATTTAAGCAGCTAATCCGTCCAGACAATTTTATAACGTTAGTGATAATCGGATTGATTACTCGGTGGGTACATATGATTTCTGTACACATGTGCTACCCCTCTAGATCCATCTTCCTCGCCTCACCCTCTCAGCAGTCACCAACCTAGCAGAACAAAACAGAGCCTCAATCCGTAGCAGCACCGCGCCCAACTGTTCATCTTAGAACCCTAGATCCATCGATCTCTCCCCACCCGCTCTATCCCTCTTCTCGCCGCCGCAATTTGTCTCCATCTGACACGTTCTTCACCAGCTCGCCCTCTCCTGCAACGGGCCGTCCGCTGGTCAGGTCAGATCCCAATCTCCATTATTCCCCTCCCTTCTCCCTTCCTTCTTTCTGCCACTCCCCCTCTCTCACCGGCTGGTTTCTTGTTTTTGTGCTCTGTTTTGTCCACCCTCACAGCACCCTTCATGGAGCCGGATGAAGAAGGGGATCACCCCGGCCTCGACCTTTCATCCCTTGACCCCGCTTCCCCGACCCCAAGTTCCAGGACTTCACTTCAAAAAGTTTGTTCAATTATATCTACATTCAACGATTTTAAACGCAGACTAGTAGTTGAAATTGGTTTTGGTGGCATGTTGCGACTGCCCGCTATATCTAAGCTCAATTTAAAACTTAGCACATGGCTCATGAGCATGGTAGATGGGCCAAACAGATGCATCAAACTATCTCATGAAAGATCTATTAGGTTCTGGCCAGGTGATATTCACAAAGTGTTTGGTATCCCATGTGGCAGGCTAGACATACACAGCCTTGAATATCAACAAGGAGAAAGTTTAGTTCAGTTTTTTAGATCTGTGTTGGGTATGCCTGACAAAGGGAATCAAGTGCTGAAATGTGTTGAATTGGTTATAACGAAAGATCTTAATGAATCAGCCAGTAATTTAGAGATTGACTGTTTCAAGATGGCATTCGTGATCTTTTGCATGGGCAGTGTGGCTGAATGATTAAGGTCAGTGTGCACCATCTTGTTAATCCAGTCTACTCCTGCAATCCCTAAACTTTTAATTATGCCCTTCTGCTTTGGAGATAGTTCAAGATACAATTTCTGCAGATCAGATGCCGTGAAACTGCCATTTGACATGGAAATGTTACCAACAACATTGAATTCTGCTTTCGTGCTTGCACAATCTTCTATTGGACAGACATCTACTTGGTTACTCACTACATCACCACGGAATAACTCTCTCTCATCGTCTTCTTCTTCAGATCTGCCAGTTTCTAGCACAACCTGAAGAGTGTTCAATCACACATTACTAATGTATTGCCGGGCTACATTTCTAAGCATATCTAACATACAGATGCAGTAAATGTTACCTTACATGCAGTCCGTCCGTCCATTACATCCGCTGTTCTTCTTCTCCTCTCCTCTACGCACAGAGCTGTTCTTCCCTTCACTTGGGTGGAGGAGTTTCTTCACAGCAAATGGTTAGACAGAATGGAGGGTCTGCTTTTACCCCTAGGGTTCCACCGACGGTCCAGTTAAAGTACCACCAGCAAACAACCACCTATATTTACTGCCCAACCATTTTGCCACTATTTGCCAACTGCCTACTACTCGAAGCATATTATAAAAACTGGCCTGTAAGCATATAAGATGTGGCCCCCTGGATGCTGTCACTGATTCGAAATCCACCAAATTAGTTGTTTAAACCCCAATTTGACATTTGCAGGTGCACTCAATCAATAATTCATCTATTTTCAAAACAGTAGATTTCGCTACTACGAATACAAAAACGACACTTCCAAGTTACTTATTTCTGTTTTCTTATCTTATAATCAAATAACATACTTAAGTCCTACTTTGTTCAACTTATTAGGCATACACATTAGCTTAATTTATTTTTATTCCTGCCGGGTAAAAACATCGCAAATTAGACCTGCGCACGAACTAAACTAAATTGACGCCGGCTCAGGTAACAAAGACCTCGATCATCCCTAAAGTTGCCGTGTTGCAGCAGGACAACATTTATCACAGCTCCATCTAAAACGCGTCGTCCATCGGCAAGATCTTGTACCGACCTGTGCGACTGCCGGTACATCACTGTACGTATGCTGTATATTCCTCTATCAAACTATTCCCTCCAGCCGTATTGTATTGAACGCTACTTTATTTTCCAATCTTGATGCAGTTATTGATGCTTTGGATAACGGGGACACATGTCCCCATAGACCAAACGTCCGCGCCCATGCTACCTAAGCTTATATAGTATGTATCCTACAAACTATGGAGTTGCTTCCCTTCATCTGACCGTGTTTCCTATTGATGGTGGCGTGCTTCCTTCCACCGCTAGGTGTTCCAAAGGATGGAAGTTATGTCAACTGAGGTCTGAGGAGCATGGACGGAATGACGCTGCACCATGGATGCACCATTAGCTGAGATTCAATTGACGATGAAGTAGTTGAGGAAATGAATTACCAAGATCCGTTGATGACGACCCAAGGCAGCGATGATTGCATGCGACCTCCACATCGTTGTCGTGGTGTGCGAGGCACATCCTGTACGCACCGGATTACGTCGCCACGCTCGCTAATGCGCCACGCGGCACGATGGAGACGGTGATGATACGTACGCAGGGTTGGTGCCCTGGCGCAGACGTCATGGTGATGAGATATGGAAACAGGAAACAAGGAAGCTCACCGACGTGCTGCCTCGTCTCATCGGCGGCGGACACAATGGTGAGGATGTGCTTCTCGTTGTGGATCAGATTGGATCCACACGGCGGATAAAACTGCAACTGCGTTTACGGAGAGGACGGGGTGGTTGCAGTGGGGGGCGAGCTATTTGGGCGAAGGATTAGGTCCGGGTTATGCACAGAGGATGTGGGTGGTTTCCAATGGGCTGACGGGATGTGTTTCCTTTTCCTTTTTGCCATTATACGCAGCAACGGAAGACCGTCTGATTGGACTAGAATCACCGGCTGTCTATTGGTCTGACGAATGCTTCTAATCAGCCTACTGATTAGAAGTGTTTCCCATTCTTGATGGGTGGTGGGTTCGCTTCTAAGTGCACAAGTGGCAAATAAAGCGGCCACATCAGCTGACCAGCAATCAAAAATCACTAAATCACATATTTACCCTGGTATTAGAAAAAACTTCACACACTTAGTTTTAGACTTAGCAAATTTCAGTTCTCTGAATAAACCTGACGGTCAGCGTGTATCTATCCACGTACAGGTTCAGTTAGCGTTTCTGTTAAGTACTTCCTCTGTTCCTAAATATAAGTCATTTTAGAAATTCCACTACAAACTACATATAGATGTATATAGACATATTTTAGAATGCAGACTCACTCATTTTGCTCACTATGTAGTCCATAGTGGAATCTCTAGAAAGACTTAGGAACGGAGGGAGTAGTTAGCTAGTTTTCAGCTCACCGTAGGAATCGTGATGGGATGGCATGGATCACGCATTCCTCGCCGCGACCATGTAGGGGTCTTGCACATTCGAGCGTCGTAGGATGGCATGACCTGTAAGCTCGGCGCGCATGACCATTTCTTGCTTGTTTTCAGGAGCTCGTTTGAGTTCAGATAAATAAGGAGAGAAACAGAAAAACCACCAAGTTGTTAGAGCAGCGCAAAACCTCTTTGTCGTCCATCTCTCTCCCACGCGGTCGTTCTCTGTGACTGTGCTTGCTAGTTTCTGCAACAACATGATTTTGTGACCGGTCACTAACCTGGCCGGTCCCCTAGATGTATAGGGGGCGTTTGAGGAGCCGGCTGTAGATGCTCTAACTCCATGCTCGGCAACAGGACGGTGGAATCGGCAGCATCTGTTCCCAGCACATGTACAGCGGGAACTCATCGTTCTGTGATGCCTTGTCACACACTGATGCCGTACCCATCTCCAGTCTCCACGTTTTTTGAATGAGAAAATACTGGAGTAGTCAGATTCACAGAAGGAGACGGCGATGCATGGATGCCCTTCTCCCATCCATTCATATGGTCTGAGCGTATCCTAGCCAGAAGATACCCAGCAGCAAACAAGGACCGATGACAGCCTCTAGTATTGGACTTATTCTTGCACTGGTTGTACTCTTGTTCAAATTATCACAAATTCAAAGCCAATCCACACAAACCAACCACATAAGTGGAATACTGTCTGGTTGTACTCTTGTTCAGATTATTCAATGGAGGCGACGGCGCCATGCGTTGGCAAGTCCCGACATCGACATCAGAGGAGGACAAACGGAAAAGTCTTCTGTTATGACTTTTTCTTTGGACTTGTTGCTTTTGCTCTCGTCTGCCTCAGCCGAGACTCCTATAAGAAGAAGGCATGCATTCCATACCCATCGCATCAGGCATTAGCGGCGCACACTCAGTCTCAGATAGCCAAGCCAAACCACGAGCCGGCTCCCATCCTTGCAAGCAAGCATGAGGCCTCAGGCGCTGCTCCTCGCGTTGGCCGTCGTCGCCGTCCTAACAGCGCTGCCCCTCACACATGGCCAAGGTGAGGGACCCTTCTTTCTTTCTTGATTCGAAATCGCTTCTGTTTTGCTCCTCGCCGATCGAGTAACTCAAAGTCACCAGTGTAGCAGTTCATTGATATTGGTTGCTGCCTGCAGGGGCAAGCCCGTGGCCGTGCTGCGACAAGTGCGGCGTGTGCACCAAGTCCATCCCACCGCAGTGCAGGTGCCAGGATGTGTCGCCGACCGGATGCAACTCGGCTTGCAAGAGCTGCGTCAGGTCCACCGCCGGCTTCCAGTGCGTGGACAGCATCACCAACTTCTGCGAGCGCCGCTGCACGCCCGTCGCGTGATTGCACGGCGGATCATCTCCTGTTGTCGCTTGCCTGAATAATGCCGATTAGCTTGTGCCTTCATTTTCTCTCATTCGTTCGGAGCTTCCTCTGCATGCATCTTGGTGTGGATAGACGCCTAGAAGAAATGAGTGTTTGATGATTTCTTGTTGTTTCTTACAATGTTTTAAATAAATGAAGAGCATATTCTATGTTCAAAATCTTCTCGGTTGAAAGTGGATAGGTGTTCATTTCAAGGATGTCAAAAAACAACCTACTCTCAGATGGAGCCTTTTGGCTTCTAGCCTAACCGAACATCCTACGTTGAACATGGTTTGTTTTGAACATCCTTGATATGACCCTAAATTTTGCTAGTATGTGGGCATGTCCATGATAAGCATCCATGCCAGGTTCGAAAGAAAAAGTATTTAATATTATAAATGAAACAAGTACTTAAAACTTATATTTTAAGTTTTTAACATACTCCCTCTGTAAACTAATATAAGAGCATTTAGATTACTAAAGTAGTGATCTAAACGCTCTTATATTTGTTTACGGAGGGAGTACCTAATAAATACAAAGAGATAAATTAAAAACAGTAAATACTTTTCTAAATAAATATTTGAAGGAAAAAAAAATTAAAAGTGCAAGCATATTTTTGAAAAAAGAAAAAAAGGAAATGGGAAAATGAAAATGAAACGAAAAAACAAAAAATGAACAGAAAGAAGAAAATAACTAGTGGGAAAAAGACCTGTTCGCTAAAGTAAACTGGTCGGCGGTCGCTGAGGGACTACTAGAACTGTGCATGGTGTCTTTAATTATGATATTTAATTTGCCACACCATGCACCCCAGGGATTCTAAAACTGTGCATTTTGACGTGAGTTATCTATCACATATCTAAAACTGTGCATTTTGCATTTGAAGAGAAACAAAATAAATGCACAACTTCAGGGGATGCTCAACATGCATTGAAGAATCCCAAATCAAATTTTTTTCCTATAATCTAATTCTAACATTTAACCAATTTGGCATGAATCACCAGAAAAATGGGGCGATTGGAGATTTGTTAGACTAAGTACATATTAGATATACGTATTGTAACATAACCTGTATTTTGTATGGTTCCCTCTTATAAATATATGACAGCCGTACCCGCATGCTGAGGCTGACCCTACGACTGAACCACGACATTTTCGAGCAGCGCTTGGCATCCCACATTGGCGTGCTGCGATGGAGCAGGAGATTCATGCTCTTCAAAGAAAAAACACTTGGCGTCTTGTTCCACCTCCATCTGGTGTCAATATTATTGACTCTAAATGGGTATTTAAGGTGAAGAAACATGTTGATGGCTCCATTGAGAGGTACAAGGCAAGGTTGGTTGCCAAGGGATTCAAACAACGGTACGGCATTGATTACGAAGACACATTCAGTCCTGTTATTCAACCAACTACTATTCGTGTTCTTCTCTCTTTGGCTGTTACTCGCGGATGGTCGCTTCGACAACTTGACGTTCAGAATGCCTTTCTCCATGGAGTTCTGGAAGAAGAGGTGTATATGCGTCAGCCGCCAGGTTTTGTTGATCCTGCTCAGCCACATCATTTGTGTCGCCTTGTCAAAGCTCTCTATGGTTTGAAGTAGGCCCCGCGTGCATGGCATGCCCGTCTTGGCGCTGCTCTTCGTGCACATGGGTTTGTTCCTTCTACAACAGACACGTCTCTGTTTATTCTTCAGCGACCTGAGGTGACTATGTACATTCTGGTCTATGTTGATGACATCATCCTTGTCAGTTCGTCTGCTTCTGCTACGCATAGGCTTGTGTCCTCTCTTGGTGCTGAGTTTCTATTTTACTCAGAAGAAACTGCATTATTTTCTGGGCCTAGAGGTTCTTCATTCTGATAGTGGCTTGACTCTTACTCAGAAGAAGTACTCTCAGGATGTCCTGCGTCGTGCAGGTATGTTGCAGTGCAAGTCTGCTACGACTCCCATGTCTGTCACAGACAAACTGACAGCTCTTGCTGGTGACTTGCTCTCTCCTGAGGATGCCACTGAGTACCGCAACATTGTGGGTGGACTACAGTACTTGCTCATTACTCGACCAGACATATCATTTGCAGTTAACCGTGTGTGTCAGTATCTTCATGCACCACGTGATTCTCATTGGTCAGCTGTTAAGCGCATCTTGTGCTATGTTTGTCACACTGGTTCATATGGTCTCCATCTTCAGCCTGCACGTTCTGGACTGATCTCAGCATTTTCTGATGCCGATTGGGCTGGTAGTCCTAATGATCGGCGATCCATGGGGGGACATGCTGTGTTCTTTGGGCCTAACTTGATCACCTGGCAAGCTCGCAAGCAAGCTACGGTGTCTCGGAGTAGTACCGAAGCTGAGTACAAAGCTGTTGCTAATGCCACAGCTAAGATCATGTGGGTGCAGTCATTGCTTCGAGAGTTGAAGGTCTCCCCAACTCAGCCGCCTGTTCTTTGGTGTGATAACATCGGTGCCACATACCTTTCATCCAATCCAGTATTTCCTGCCCGAACGAAGCACATTGAAGTTGACTATCATTTTGTGAGGGAACGTGTTGCTCAGAAGATCCTTCAGATTAAGTTTGTTTCTTCTAAGGATCAGCTTGCAGATATTTTCACTAAACTCTTGCCCTTGCCTTCTTTTGAAGGATGTCGTCGCAATCTTAACCTTCTGAGTGTTTCAGGACATAGTTAAGATTGAGGGAGGGTGTTAGACTAAGTATATATATGAGATGTACGTGTTGTAACATAACCTGTATTTTGTATGGTTCCTTCTTATAAATATATGACAGCCGTATCCACCAAGGGTATCGAGCATTGTTCCAAACCCTAATATGTCTAACAAGATTGAAAGTTCATCTAGGCCCTCTAAGTTGGTTTTGATGAATAATGAAGAAAGATTAAGGGACCAATGTGTTTTTTTATCACCACAAGGAAGTATTATAGGCACTGGTAACCCCCGCCCACCCCACCCAAAGGAAAGAGAAAGGAAGGCTACAATTTTATGAGTTTCTATTTTTCTTGGCTTCCGGTGATTCCAAGAAATAACATTGCGTAATGAGAAAACCCATAGTATATTCAAGGAAATGCTAGAAAAGTAGCTCAATGCTTTATGTTAAACTCTTTGTTGTCTGGAGTTTGTGTTGGATTTAAGATAGTTCAGAGTGTCTGAGCTATAGCTCGGAGTATCCAGGATATACCTGGAGTGTCCGGGATAAAATTGTATGTCTGAGCTATAGCTCGGAGTAATCCTGAGTTGTAGCCAGTCCAGACATCTATATTTGGGGCAGCTAAACGGCAATGTAGGATCCTCACAAGGATCCACGTTTAGGGTCAACTACTCGTGTCGATGCATTTATTCTTCTGCTTTACTTTACAAGCTTGCTTATTTTGCTTATATTTGTTGACTTCGTATAGGTTGTTCACTTAGTTATTGCATTAGTGAACTTTCAATTCCACAATTGTATGAAAAAAGTGATTTTGAATAAAATTTGGTAAGTCGCATATTCATATACCCCGTCTAGTCGACACCGTTGATCTTTCACACCTCTAGTGCTCATCTCGATCCACCTCCGTGTGGCGGCTCGATGGCACCATTCGAAGAAGCTGGCCGCAACCCTCACCGCGCAGGGGCGGCCGGTGTTGCCCACCATCATCCCACTTGTATCCAAGGAGATCTAGGAGGTGTCCGCTCTTGTTGGCTCACTCCGCAATTACCTCATGATGGGGACAGCGCTCCTCAAGGAAGATGCACAGCAGCACACTGCCGGGGACAGTGAATCGCTATGCGGCAACATCGCAAACGGATCGACGTGGACCGTTCCTAGGCCGGCCCGGCACAAGCGCGTCAATGTTCTAGGGTTGAGCGACACCTGAGGCATTTTGTGCCAACATGGCACATTAGGAGAGCTGGTCGGATTGGGCTGATATGGCATGGCTATATCCTGAGGCATATGGGGCTCACGTCGTGCTAGCCCGACAAGGCCCAAGTCCCACCTTAAGAAGAAGAAAACAACTACACGCATGCACACACATGTGTGTCTTCTATTCATAATTGGAAAATATTTAAAATGATCAATGATTGTGTTCCAAAGCGTACATACTACACAACACAATAATTACAGACCGAACCAAGTGATCTGGCTTAGGCACGCTAACAGCTCATATCATGTCCTACTCGCCAGTTGGTAGCAAGCGGCTCTTGTAGCTCTCAATGCTTGAACTGGATAGGAAATGCCCGATCTGGATATGAAATGTCACATGAACGTTCACTGCTTCAGGAATAATTCCATGTTGTTGGCATCCTTGTGGATTCAATAGAAGGCACATTCCGTGCGCTCACGTTGAGTGGTACCATTCGGTACTCAATGTTGAGGTCCTTGAGGACTTCCATCATCTCCTGGAGCACCAGCTCCCTCCTCACGCACCTCATCCCCATGTCCTGGAAGTTGAACGTGTGACAGAGCCATATGGATATTTTTAGTTTGTTGGCCTCATCTACATCTTGAAGGACAACCATCGCCCCTGGGTACCAATGCTCTTTCTTGTTGTTGATGCATCTGGAGTTATAAGTGTAAAAATTGGTTAGTTCGATGTGGTATTCTAAATGACACAAGTAAAAAACATAGGAAACTTCCAAAATTATGTTTCACGTTTAGTTGTCAACATGCTCATAGTTCAGTTGTTAACAAATCAGTTTTGATCAAACCATGTGATAAAGGCACTAATACGAACCGTAGTATTCTTTCCTTCATGAGTGCTAGTTTCACTACTGGTGTGGCTACGTGGATATAGAAGTCAATTCCTTCTCCCATATCAGGACTCCTGCAGAAGTTCATAATCGGTATGTTGGCCAGTACATTGTTTGGATAATATATCTTCAGGTTGTCATAACGGAGAAAGACTGTTGTCAAGATATTCATTTCCTCGACAACAACCTGAAATTCAGGTGGTTAAAACTTCCAATGAGTCCAAGCTAAAATTAGATTTAATG